CCCCCCCCCCCCACCCCCAATGGGTGGCACAGCTTGAGTGGAGCCCATGGTGGGGAGGATGTGGGCTCAGGGCTCCTCAGCCCAGCAAGCGGGAGGGCAGCAGGGCAGGAAGCCCTGAGCCCGCGGTGGGCAGCCCACACCTGCCCCCACCCTGTGCACAAATATGTGGGGCACATGCCCCCCCATACCTCCCTCTCCAGGAGTGTGCACAGAGGCAGGGGGCCGTTCCCTGCGCTGCCCCCGGATGAGCCATCCATGGCTCCATCCTGCTCCCCCACCCAGGCCCCATATTCCCACCCCAGCCCCGGACCCCATGCACTGGCCCAGCTGGGCAGCATCCCAGCCCTGCCCCACTCCCTCCCTCACCATGGGGGCCTCAATTTGCCCTCCCCCCATAGACTTACCTGGAGGGACCTGCAGGAGCTGCTCTCCACGCTACCTGGCTGTCACGTGCATGTGTGCACGCACAGCCGTCTGCTTGATCGCACTCCCCCCAGCCCCAAGCAGCCCCTTGCAAGCTGGAGCTCTGCCAGCCTGCAAGAAGAACCTGCCATTTCCTGTTTTTTTCCTGATTTTCATCATAATTGGTTGACACTGTCTTTGTGACCCCATTTTTTAATCATGTTTTCCAAAAGAAAACAAGGACACCGGTCACTACTGCTGTGTGCTGGGTGCAAACAGCCTCCCAACTGTATAATGGTCACTTGGGGTTGTAACCCCAAGGCTGAGAAGCGCTAGTCTAGGAACAGGAAAGCCAAGCAAGCAAAGGGTCAGGGGACCTCAAATATGTTTGGTTTTTTGTTAAACCCCAAACTGATAATTGGACAAAATAATTCCAGCCCAAACTGACCTTTTCCCATGAAAATTGTAATGTTACAGCCCCACTGCAGATTGGTGGCTGGCTCCATGCTCTAAATCTGCTCAGCCCTGCGTGGCCATCTCCGAACCAGCCAGTTCTTGGCACTTCTTATCTTCGCCACCTCAGTCCTCCTAGGCCTCTTGCATCTCTTGCCCAGGGTGCCCAGCCATCCTCCTATATTCCCAATTGGCTCCGATGCCTCAGTGGCTACTTTATTTGCATGGCCTATCCGTCAACAGGCAACACAACACAGCAAGACAAAGCAGATGCAAGCTGGAGATAAAAAATCCTTGGTTAAGGGGATACAGCTCTGGACCAGCATCACAAGGAGACAGCATGAATCCAGAGCCTGGACATCTTCAGAGCATATGTAGTACCAGACTAGGTTAGACTAGTGGTCCACCTAGCCCTGTATCTTGTTTCCATCATCAGCATCAAAACTAAGTGATGGAGTGGGGAACCAGACGACCCTTTGGGGCACTGCTGGCTCATCGGGGAAGGGAGACAGGTTATGTGGGTGGCTCGCGGTTGCATCAGTGAGTTAGGAGCAGAGCTGGAAGAGACCCCAACACCCCTGGGAAACTGGAGCGGGTTCAGATGGTGAGAATTGATGTCGACCTCTATCCGGAGGTCAAACCTCGAGTCCTTTGGGTAATTCAGAAAGGCTGGAGGTGCAGAACCGATCGTGTTGCACAGTCCAGGGTAAGTCTGTGGATGCTCAGTGACTACACCTTGCATGCCAGCATGGGACCTTCCCTCCAGCCCATAGCTCCTTCAGCCTCGCAAACTCGTCACAGATGATCCAAGGGCTTCACACCCAGCTAACACGTATGTGGCATTAGAGATGAGAGCAGGGAAAGCTGCATGCAGGCCTGTGGTTTCTGCAGAAATTCGGGAAACCCGCTGCAACCCAAGCATGGGCTTTCACAGTCACCTGCTGCCACCTCGTGGCTTGCATTAAATAAAGCATTTCAGTGACTGGGATCGTAAACGTGTGTGGAAGTAGTGTCCGGCACACTGGTTTTAGGGCACTTCTATCCCCGAGATGCTCCACTGCAGATGCATCTGAAGTTCCTCTGCCCCATCTCTATGGCATAAAGTGGCTTCCCCATTGAGCTATACCCACACATGATGGAAAACAGAGGTGCAGCATCAGCAAGAAAAGCAGAGCTCACCCAGGCATGCCACCCATCAGCTGAGGAAGAGGCTTTTGAGTGTTATTAGGGGGTGCTAATAATAACACTGTGTTATTAGGCTACTGCACAGTTAGTGTCTCATGTAGATGTGCCCAGTTCGTCCCTAAGGCACCATCCTTTTACGTGAGGAACAGAAATCTCACAGTGGAGGGCTCCTGAATTAGGCAGGCACACCGATAGCGAGGTCCACAGGTTGGAAGATGAAGTGAAACAAATTCAGCCTTACCAATACCAAGCAGGGGTTGTTTTAGCAGCTAGCGGCATTAACCGCTGAAACAACCGACCAAGGACTGGAGCAGGTTCCCTATCGTGCCCTACGTTTGAAGCCAAACTGGACATCTTTTTAGAGGGCCTGCACTACTGCAAGCAGGACTTCCCACCAGGGCAGCCTCCAGGCTCGGGATGAGCTGGGAGGTCAGACAAGAGAAGCCCAATCTGTATAAGCTACGCTGCTCTTCAGCAGACGGTGTCACACACTCCTGTCACCTCCTTATCCCCCCTCCTGCCACAGAGTAGTCTGAAAGCCAAGAGCCGTGACACCTGCTCCTTGCGACCCCCCCCCCCATTGAAGCCACAGCAACCAGCAGACAGTAAAAAGCCCTTGTTTTCATTTGAGACACTGACCGTGTTGCGTGTCGTGTCGTAGCAAAGTGACTCGAATGTTACAGATGCTCCAGCACTTCACAGGTCAGCAGCACCTTCCATCTGGAGATCTCACAAGCCCTTTAGAGACGCCAGGTCGTCAAACCTCACAACACCCCTGTGAGGTAGGTATTATTACCCCCATTTTACAGATGAGGAAACTGAGGCACAGAGGGGTGCAGTAACTTGGCCAAGGCCACGCAGCAAACCAGTGGCGGAGCCAGAAAATGGTCTCCCCTCTGCTTTCACCACTGGGCTTCTGCCCCTTGTACAATAACAGGATTAGCAGCAGACAAAGACATCCCCATGGCTCACATCATGTGACAGGCGTGAGCCAGAACGTGGAATTGCCCCAAATGCCCCGTCGCTGCCAGCACCACGTGAATGAAATGCCAACCTGGTGCCAATTATTCCGCCACGACCCGTGCCCAGGAGGATCTGAGCTGCCCAAGGGATCAGGGATTTTCCGGGGATATCCTGCCGCTAGATGGCACAGGTTGGCCTGGAAATCGCTCTGTCCGCACGACGCGCTAGCACCAATTGCAACACCCAGCATCGAGCTCTCCTGGCACTGGAGGCACATCTGGATGGGGTCGTGGAGGAGGAGGTAGCTACCGCTGCAGCCAGCACTGACGCTGCCCCTTGGCGCTGGAGGCTTGCAAGACCCAAATGCTGCCCCATCCCAGCTTGGGTGCTGAGACGGGAAGACGCCGAGTCTGGACGATCTCACCGGCAGGGAGCCGATTCCAGAAGAGGGAGGCAACCCACCAGCTTCCCACCCCACCACCCTTATGAAACCCAGTACCAAAAATCCCCCTCCCCATTGTGCAGAAAACCCTTCCTGTATTATAAAAATAGTCCTCTAGCATCCCAAGGACGCAGGCTGCCGGCAGTAGTGCAAATCAGGAGAACCAGTCCGAGGGCGAGTGCACTGGCATTTCTTTCTTCCCCCGCACATCTGTGTCATTTCTTAAAGGGGAAAGCAGTGGTTCGGACTCTGCACCCCAGGGCTGGTCTAAGGGAGGAGGAAAACACAGCATTAGAGACAGCAGAAACCCACCAGCCGCTCTAGGTCTCCATGTGTTAAGGTGTTTTGCAAACATGCTGCTCAAGTTCCCCATTGTGATAGTCTGGCCTGAAGCTATTAAGCCCTTCCTAAAGCCTGATGGCTAGGCTTTTCCACCTGGGGTAATGTAGGACTAGGATTACTATGTGTTGTATCTTCTTGCATGCCACGCACCCCCAAATAAGACACACACTTTGTTTTGTGGAAGGTAGAATGATAAAACAAACAAAAAGAGATGTTTTCCAGAGTTATGGACTCATAGAAAATTCAGGTGGGAAGGGACCTCAGGAGGTCACATCTAGTCCAACCCCTGCTCCAAGCAGGACCAGCCCCAACTCCATCATCCCAGCCAAGGCTTTGTCTAGCCGGGTCTTCAACACCTCCGAGGATGGAGACTGCACCACCTCTCTAGGTACCCTGTTCCAGTGCTTTACTACCCTCCATATAATAGTGTTTCCTAATATCCAACCTCAACTTCCCTTGCTGCAACGTGAGCCCATTGCTCCTCATCCTGTCATCTGCCCCCACAGAGAAGGGCCCAGCTCCATCCTCACCCTGCAACCCTGTCCCGTCCCAGTGTTTACGACCATCGTTCCTAGAAGCATCCACTTCCCTACTGGGATGAAACATCAATAGGCTGGTGTGGGACAGGAGTGGGGGCTTCCTTCTGAGAGGTGGGCAAAAGTCTGTACTTACCTTTGAGGAGGCACCGACCTGTGGGAGGAAAAGACAAGACAGATCAGTCGCCAGCGGCAGCCCAGACTCCCCCCAGAATGAAAAGGTGAGAGTTTGCCAGCCCAAGACATGCTGCCCTCTGCCACTAGATGAAGCTGGGGACCTTTGGTCCGAGCTTTAACGCCCCCAGCATCCTGGGTGGGAGTTGGCCGTGCAATCGGTGTCTCTCATGACTTACTTGAGTGGTTTCGTGATGTGGCTCGTGCAGCTGGTGCCTGTCGCCTTGAAGTTGGTTGGAGGGACCATGACCAGCAAGGTCTGTGAGGAGGAAGGCTCTTTGACCTGAAGTGGGCTCCCGGGCAGGGGTCGGCGTGGAGGCTGGTTCTTTAAGACGACCTAGATGAGGATGCAGTAGAAGGAGGTGTCAACTGTGGCTGGTTCTTGGGTATATGCTCCTTCTGACTGCAGAGGAGATGCCTGAGGGTATAAATCTAGGCAGTGCCTGTGCCCTTCGAGCTCAGCGGATCAAAAGGATGGAGCCCAGACCCAGGACTCACCACAGGGGTCTTCACGGGGCTGCTGGGAAGAGGTTTCTTTGGAGGCAGCAGCTTGGGCTGGGTGCCGGCAGCTTTGGCAGGAATGAGGGGGGATTTGTTGATGGGTGGCGGTGGCCGGGAAGGCTTGAGGTCTTTGCGGGGCTGCGTGAGCGGGCTGGGAGCCGGGCGAAGGGGGCGGACGACGTTGACAGGCTGGGAGCCATTCTGCAGAGCACTGGTTTTCTGGGGGAAGGCGCCTCGGGATGTCTGCAAGGAAGGCAGAACAAGCACAGGCAGTAAAATACTGGGCATGGCTCTAAGGCCTGCAGTAGTAATATAGGAACAGCACTGCAGCCCCTACATACCAGTCTAAGCCCCCAGAAATGGAGTGCCATAATCCTCCTACTTCCCCTAAACTAAGGCTGAACATGATTTTGCGAGCAAACATCACAGAACATAAGGCCCAAGAGATATTGCAAATGGGGTAGCATAGGACTGTGATTGCATTTGAGATATTGCATCTGGGGTAAAGTAGGACTGTGATTGCATCTGAGATAACGTAGGACTATGATTGCATTTGAGATATTGCATCTGGGGTAAAGTAGGGCTTTTATTGCATTTGAGATATTGCATCTGGGGTAATGTAGGACTATGACTGCATTTGAGATATTGCATCTGGGGTAACGTAGGACTATGACTACATCTGGGAGATTACATCTGGGGTAATCTACATTACCCCAGATTTAATCTATGATTGCATCTGGAAGATTGCATCTGGGGTAACATAGGAGTATGACTACATCTTGGAGATTGCATCTGGGGTAACACAGGGGTATGATTGCATCTGAGGTAATGTAGGACTATGACTGCATTTGAGATATTGCATCTGGGGTAATGTAGGACTATGACTATATCTGGGAGATTGCATCTGGGGTAACACAGGGGTATGACTGCATCTGGGGTAACACAGGGGTATGACTGCATCTGGGAGATTGCATCTGGGGTAACACAGGGGTATGACTGCATCTGGGGTAACACAGGGGTATAACTGCATCTGGGAGATTGCATCTGGGGTAACACAGGGGTATGACTGCATCTGGGAGATTGCATCTGGGGGTGACCAGCCAAGAATTCTGCGGATCTGGAGCAGTGGCCACCTCTGAAGAAGCCACCCCAGCTTTTCCACCAGACCCCATGGATTCAGGGGTGGGACAGGAGAGCTCTCTCCTCCATGCCAGCCAGGCCATGCTCAGTAAAGCCCTTAAATCTTTCCATCAATACCAGGGCTTAGTGTAATGATTGCAGAGTCCCAATGGCTAGACGGGAACAATAAGCAGCCAAGACGTCTGCTTTCATGGAGACAGCAGTGAAAACCCCTGGAGATGAGCCATTAACAGAGCATCACTCAAAACTCAGATAAGCTTCCCCAACATCATGTCGCATTTGCCTTCAGATTAGACCTCTGGTCATGGCTGGAATAACCCCCTGCTCTTGCCGTGTGCCACAGGTGTGTCAAACATACAGCCCGCAGGCTGGATCCAGCTTGCAGACATGCTCCATCGAGCCCGCCGGGCATGGCCAGCAGTGGGCATGAGTTGAGTTTGACATCCTTGGTATAGACATATCCCCCTTGTGCTAGCTCCCTGGACTGGCCATTAGTGGGACACAGCTCCCTTACTAGAGCCTAAATTTGGAGTGACTTCGCATTTGTCTACACGAGGAAGCTAGCGCATCATAACTATGGGTGTGAATTCCCAAAGCAACAGCTATCCCTCCCGAGCACACTTCCAGTACACGTTCAGTGCAAATGAATGCACATTCAGTTCAAAAGGGAGCGAGCGCTCTTCACAAAGGAGCTCTGAGCACACCCAAGTGTGTCGACATGCACGGCCAGTGCAGAGTAACTCAGGCGCTGTCCGTTCACACCCCAGCTCACTGCAGTTCCTCCCCATGTAGACAAGCCTCCCAGCTTGCACGGAGTGACTCTGGATTGAGAGCTGGGTAATGAACGGTAGGCGCCAGTCTTTCGGCCACAACTCAATAAGCCAGCATCACCCTCAACAGACTAACGGGAGCAACGCAGATCTCAGAAGGCGTTTTCGCCTCTGCTTACCTTGTTAGAGCTGCTCGAGGAGTAGATATTCTGCAAGGTGAAGGCTGAGTTCGAGTGGCCCCTGCTTGTCTTCTGACTAGCGGTTTTGTTCCTGCCCGGAAACATAAGCAGGAGACATGGCCTGGAAAGATGGCCACGTACTTTGCAAGAACTGCCTTCGCAACCGCTAGCGGGTGGAGGTATCATCCCCCTGGATGGTGCAGGCAGCACTGGGAGAGCCCAGTGGTGTCTCGCATTGAAGTCAGGAAAGGCAGCACTTTTGCTGATGCACCTACTGACCAGCTGCTGGAGCTGGCTTCCAGCTACCCTTGCCAAGGCTGCATTGGGAGGGTCTCAGGGATGTAAATGGGGGGCAGCTGGAGTGCCTTCATGCACAATAAAATACAGGAAAGGCTTTCACAGACGCTTAGGTATGAAAAGTGGTTTCAGGGCTGTGGAGGAGCAGGCCAAGGCAGCAGCCCTGTAGCACAGACCTGAGATGAACAGGCCTTCCCGGCTCAGAGGAAAATGCTAACTCCAAGACAGCTGCATTAAGCTCCCTTCCCACCCCTGCCTCGGGCTATCACTCGGTGCCAGGCAGTCTTCATCTGGCTTCCCATATACCCACAGGGCTGTAAATGGTGCAACTTTTTCACACGGCGTGCAACTAGTGCGGGACTCGTTGCCACCAGGTGTGGAGGAATCTGAGAGTTTAGCCAGATTCAAAAAGGGATTGGACACATTCTTGGATGAAAGGGGCATCGGTAGCTATTGAGCACGGGGGCGAGGGCCACGGCCTCCGAGTTAAAACTTCCTAAACCCTGCACGCCGGAAGCTAGATCCTGTTCGCTCTTCCTTTCAGCATCCACCTCTGCCTCTGTGTGACGCAGGAGACTGGGCACGATGGAGCTAGGGTCTGAGCCGGTACATGGCAAATCTTGTGTCCGCTGCACAATGCTGCTACAGTCACAATGGTGTGAAGCAGACAGGAGGGAGTCCAGGATGGGGCTCCCACCAAGCCCTGCTCCCCGTGGCCCACATGGAAGTGTACCAACCTGTCGATTTTACATCCTGTACCCCCCTTAAGCAACATCCCCCCACACCCTGCCCTGCTGCACCTGGGATTAGTGGGGACCGTCCCACTCTGCTGGGACCCTAGAAGGGACATGGCAAGTGAACCGTGCATGTCCCAGCAAAGTTAACCACAGATGAACCCTGGCTATCAGCTGCTATGAGAGGAGGACAGCTGCCCAGCAGCCCCAGGTCACGGAAATCGCAGCCGAGCCCATGTCCCCAAGGGTCATCCAGCCTCTGGCATTAACAGTCACTGGATACACCGAACAGGAAGCAATGGGGTGCTGGGGGCAGGATCCAGACCCAAGGGTCCCCTTCCTTGCAGGGCAGTCTTGCCCTCTGAGCTCACATCTGGTCCCATCTTGCCCATCTCCTAGGAGCAGGTGAAGGAGCGGGATTTGGGCAGTGCTCCCTGCTGGTTAGGGCACTTTCTTAAGAAACAGGTTCGGACCCCCGTCTCGCTGCGGGGGACCTTGACCCCAGAGCAATCGCCGTCCTCCAAGCCATTGGGTTGGTGGGACATCGTGGGGACGCTACCACTGCTCTCTCCCGCTTTCACAGCATGATGAGTCTTCCCAAGAGAAGCAGGACCTAAAACCCACATTGAAGTGGCCTGACGTGCCCCTCGCTCAGCTGAAGTTAGCTGCACGGGTGCTGCTTGCCCCTTGGGAGGTGGCGTGGGGCTTGGGCCCACGTGTCTCGCCACGCCTGCCTCCTCCAGTGAACCGACCCCAACTCGTCGCGCTGGGCGTAGACCCCCGCGGTGCCCAGCGCCGGCGGCACTCACCTGCAGGTCTCCAGGCACTTCATCATCTCCTTCCACCACTTGCTGAGGAGCGACTTCTCCCGGCGGTAGTAAAATTCAAGTCCGAACACCAGAGCAAAGATGAGAGGGAACAGCAGGAAGACCAGCAGGACAATTATGATGGTCTCATGGTCTGCGGGAGAGGCAGAGGAATGGTTAAAGGGCTGCGCTGGCCTCTCCCTCGGCTCCTGTTATTCAGGCAGCATCTGCGGGAACGTGGGAGCTGCATCCACGCTCTCCCACAAACCAACAGAGATGGCTTCCCTTTCACTGCTCACCCTGCGAGCTCAGACAGCCGATACAAGGGCAAGTCCCAGGCATATGCAGGTCTCCCTGGCATTGGCCAGGCCTTTGGGTACCCCGGAGGCGCTAAGAGCTGGCACAAGATCCCCTTGCACCGCGGGGGTTCAGAGGGAGATCAAGGTGGAGACAGTCTGTTTGCAGACTGCCCATCACTACTTTCTCTCAACTTCGCCATTCCTATGTCTCCATCCCCGTACCAAGGAGGGGACTCTGTCCCACCCCTGCTATTCTGGACTCACTGTCATACTGCACTGGGCCGCTGTCCACGCTGCCCCCCAAGCCTGGCTTCTCGCAGAACGGGGGAGCCCAGCCTGCATTGCAATGGCAGTTCTTGTTGCTGTTGCAGACCTGGGGACGAAGGGAGAGGAGGAGGGTCAGGCGCTGCGCAGGCGAGGGGAGGCAGAGCCCACCGGCAACGCACTGGGGGGTCCTCGCTGGGAACATGGGCATTGCCAGGGTTCAGCTCAGCCCTTTTGCATCCATCCCCTGCACTGCTGCTTCGGTGCTGGAAGAGCTCAAAGCCGCCCATTTCTGTGTGCTGGTCAGGCCTGCTGCAACAGCACCCAGAAACCCACTCCCACGCTAGGATCACACTCCTCCTCCCAGCCAGATGACCAGCTCGAGCAGCTATTCCAGCTCCAACACCGGCCAGCCCGCTCCAATAGACAACCTGTGCAAGGACGCAACAGTGCTGGGCCCGTGCCCCATGACAGCAGCCTTCAAATACCTGAAGGGCTGCCATAAAGAAAGAAAACACCTTTCTCTCTTGCTGCAGAGAGCAGGATGCAGACCAGTGGCTTGAAATCGTAGCAAAGCAAGCTGAGGTTGGACATCTGGAAAAACATCTTCATCGTTCGAGCAGGGAGGCGGTGGAATAGATGCCCGGGGAAGGTGCGGACTCTCCATCGCTGGACGTGTTCAGGAAGAGGATGGACAAACATGGGATGATCTAGGGTACAGCGATGCCTGTGCTTTATGATAGGTATTTCCCCCGAGTTATGGGCTTTGCTGGTTGTCCCGTGCCCCTTTCTGCTACGTGTGTCCGGGTGTTTTTAAGCCTCTCATCTCAGGGTGCTGGCTGCAGACAAGGCTGGGGCTGAGCCAATGCTCCTGCTGGGATTTAAACACAGAGGGTCCTGGCTAGAGGGTCCTGCTGCTCAGGGTCAGACCGACCGCCGGATTTGGGGGCAGGAGCTTTACGCCAGGGTCAACTGGTAAGGACCGTGGGGGCTTTTCCTTCCTCTGTCGTGAGCGTAAGGATCTCTTCAACATATATTAACAGACTTTACAGCAGAAGGATGTTGGCTGCTGCTTCGTCGGCCGCAGGTCTTCTGTTCTGCCTTGCGTTGTGCCAGGGTGCAGGTTTGCTACGAGGTTAGAAAACTGGTTTGTAGGGGATGGTTTGGATAGGGCCGATGCTGCTCCAGGCAGACGGTGGACTAGATGTGACCTCTGGAAAGCTCTTCATCCCTGTGGTTCAAGGATTTTATGAGAATAGGGTGGACGGACTCGGGCGTGCAGAACGCCACCCCCAAACCCCAGGTCCTAACTCATGAGCGAGCTCTTGTTGGCAGACTGGTAAGATGTTGCCATACACACTGGGGTTAGATATACCATGAGCAGAGACAGCAAAACTTTGCTGCTTCTCAGCTTGCGATCATAATGATCCCTTCTACCCCATGAAAGCGATGAAACCTGTGAACCAGCTTCCTCTATGATCCCCGCTGCATTTCTGGTTGCTGATGGGCTCTCAGCTGTAAGAGCCATAGGATCGAAGCTCTGAACACTTCCAAACCCAGGAAAAGGTCAGATCCAGATCTTGCAGCTGATCCTTGTTGTGTCCATAATGACCCAGGCTGCATCCTCCACACTAGTCAAGATGCAAACCTCCTCACTCGGGTCTATCGGACCCAGAACGGGCTGCTAGCACGTCAAGCGGATGCTGCTTCACGAGGCTTGTGTCCGAGGATGGCTGGTTTTCCTGCAGGATGCAAGCCCATCTCAGGACCCCCCCGCAGCTCTCGGGCAGTGACTTACCCCATGGCCATTGCAACGGGAAACACATTTCTCCAGGTCAAAGAAGGAAGCGTTCTGGCACCTGCGATCCTTGCAGACCTGAGGGCAAGGGTAAGCGAGAGTTAGGGGAGAAAGGCGAGACAGGAAGGCGAGACCTCACGCTAGAGTTGGACTGAAACGGTCCAGCAGGACATTTATCTGTCATAAGGCGTTGATTTGTGGAAACAGGCACGTTTGGCATGAATGTGTCCGTGTCCAAGCAACGTTCAACCCCCCCCAGACAGGATTCCCGTGGAAATCTCCCAGCTTTGCCAGCAGTTTGTCTACTTTCCCGCACTCCTTTGGGTGAAAAATGCCCGTGCAAGAGCTAGGCAATGGCAACGATGATCAGGTTTCCCATTGACAAACAGCAAATTCATCAGAAAATGCACCAGATTTCCAACTAGTCTCAGAGGAGGGTGGTGGTATTTCTGGGGGCAAGATCCCCAAAAGAGATGCCAATGGCAGGGATGACCCAGTCTCCCAGGGTTAAAACACATGCTCAGGATGTACGATTCATGCAGTTCTCTCCTCTGTCTGTGTCTCACTTCACCTCAGGGTGCCCTGTCTGTCAGGCTGGGAGGTTTTCTCAGGTATGACATGCTTGATATCACTGGGAAGATCTGCTACACTGTGCAAAATACTCAGTCCCCAAGATAAAGGGTAAGAAAGTAGGAATAGCTTTCTTAGCTCGATTGTGGAAATTTGCATGAAGGTGATGGCTGAAACCAGCTCAGTTTGGGGAGAAGAAAGCCAGAAGCACTAGACCAGGCTCCCCAGAGAGGTGGTGCAGTCTCCATCCTTGGAGGTGTTTAAGACCCAGGTAGACAAAGCCTTGGCTGGGACAATGTAGTTGGGGCTGGTCCTGCTTGGAGCAGGGGGTTGGACCCGGGCTCCTTTCACATCCATAGAGACGGTCACTTGAAGCCAGGGCTGCGGTCTGGAGGTGGCAGGTCTCCGCGTGACCTCCTGAGGTCCCTTCAACCCTCATTTTCTACGATTCAATGATTGCAATACCCTGGAGGTCTGGGATGATGTAGTTGGGGCTGGTCTTGCTTTGAGCAGGGAGTTGGACTAGATGTGACCTCCTGAGCTCCCTTCCACCCTCCTTGTCTGTGAGTCTACCTCTACCCTTGAGGTTAGACCCTGCACTGATGAGACAGGACACCTGGGATCCAGCCCCTCCTGCAGCAAAAGTTTAATTATACTACAAGTATCAGAGAAGATAAGTGCCCCTGTGCTTGAATACCCAACAGCAGGATGATGTTAGCTTGCTCTGGAAAGGCAGTTTCACATCCCCCTACAGTGAAAGTGGGATTTGAACTGGGGTCCCCCCCGTCCTCGACTGATCTAACCACCTCCCTTTCTTCCTCTTACACATGCTGGAACGTGAAATGTGTGGGGTTGACCGCAAACTGACCAGTGGGGTTTTTTTTTTCCACCGCAGCAAGAAGATAAAATAAAAACAAAGAAATGAAGTTGGTTGTTGCCACAAAGCTAAATATTCCCTAGTGCTCACTGGGTCATTTGCCAAACAGAAATAAGTCAAGCAACCGCACGGCTCTATCGGTGACCCTGGAGAACGGCACGGAGACCTGCCACCTCCAGACCGCAGCCCTGACCTGAAGTGACCGTCTCTATGGATGTGAAAGGAGCCCAGGTCCCTCCTGACTGTCACCAAGGAGACTAAATAAGATGGAGATGGGGTCAAGCATGCCCTGTTGGCTCTGGACCCCTGGCCTGGCTCAGTCCTGTCTGTCTGCAGAGGTTAAGGGCTTCGGAGGCCATCTCCTCTCAACCCCTGGTGTGACCTTGTCCCGTGCTCTGCTCGGCAACACCCCTTGCGCTCCATCTCTCCTGGCTGGCTTACCATGCCATCCCCACACTTGGTGCCGGTCATCACCAGCCCCGGGTCGGACAGGTCGCCCTCGTCGTCCTTTGTGGTGTAGACAAACGTGCCTCTGCATTTCACCTCCCGCCCATTAAACCGGATGGTGGTGTCTATGGAGACCGTGTTGGTGCCTTGGGGCTTCTTGGCAGAGCTCTGGCACTGGATCTTGCCGCACTTGGCATCTCTAGAGAGAAAGGTGCAAAGACCAGGAGGAAGGCAGCCAAGTGGGGGGCTCCAGGTGCAAGGTCGTGCAGGCGGAGTCCACTACCTCCTTCCTGCTGGACCTTTTGTATGTGCCACGTACCATTTTGACCCATTGACGCCCATTACCCCAGCCCAGAGTGCTATCGTCTGTCCTCACCCCTCACCCCAACACCATGAGACTCCCTTGAGCACCAAGATCAGCGCCCGTCTGCCTGGCATGACGACCCCAGCCCTGCCGTGGTGCTACAAGAGGGGGACACTCTGACCCCATACAAATGGCTCTAGTCTCTACAGGGAACAGGACCAAGATGACCCACAAATGGCTTCATAAAGAAGGCATCTGCAGCTGAGTGTCTCAGCATAAACCGATCCCATGATGCCAGTATGTTATTACCAAGGATCCTGGTTTTTTCTGATAAAAATATCCCCAATTTCCATATTTAAAAATGTAACCCAACATCCACATTTCTCCATGATTAAAATGAAACACCACTAAATACATAGATATGGATATAGTGGTCCATGATTAAAATGAAATGTCACTAATGTAGATAGATAGATAGATAGATAGATATACTGGTGTTTCATTTTAATCATGGAAAAATGTGGATTTGGGGTTACTTTTTTAATCTGAAAATTGGGGATTATTTTTTATCCCAAAAAAACAGGATCCCAGATTATTACTGGGCCATTACCACTTGGCTCCCAGACACAGACATTCCCACTAGCCACAGTGGAAAGCCGGGGACGTCATGCAGACACAGCCAGCGCCCATATGCAATGCTAGAAGGAGAGGCCCAGCCTGGCTTCCAGCTTGACCAAGGGAGGGGAGAGAAAGCAGGGACTGGCAGAAGTCTCCCTGGACTGGACGACTGAACCCAGGCCCTTCAGCACGTGGCCCCACCACCCAAGTGGGAAGACTGGCCTGGAGCAATTAAGGAGGGGCCTGCAGACTGGCATCATCACCAGAGCCAGCTGCTGGGACACACACACAACACCATCACGCTCACCAAGCCGGTGCGTCGCACGCACGGGTGCAAACCCACGGCACTCACCTCCTGTCACACTTCATGTACTGCCCCTGGCTGTCCTTCCCGCAGTTCCCGTACGTGTTGCCAGCCATGTTGACGTCTTGGAAGCAGGCGTCGGGAGCTGGCCAAGCACCTACGGGGCAAAGGAATAAATGCCCCGATGAGATCTGTGCTGACGTCCCGAGAAGCGCGGATAAGGAGGGGAGAGGCAGGCGGCTGCTACAGCCAGGAGAGCAGCCTGGTGGCGCAGGCACAGAGCGATGATGCAAAGAGGAGACAGAGACGGAGACTGAGCAGCGGCTTTTGCTCTGCGGCTCTGCAGGGGAATTCAGTCTCCAGGGGCCCAATCCCGGCACCTTTCACCAGCTCTCAGGCACATACCCCAAGGCAGGACACAGCCCTGCCCAGCAGATAGCCCTAGCAACACACCAGTGGGAAGACTCTCCATCATCCCAAACCAGTCCTCCTGCTTGCTAACCCACAGCCGGCAGGACAGGCTCCCCTAAGCCCGTGCAGAGTCCTCCCGCTCGCTGGCTGTGCACAAAGGTGCAACGGTGCAGGGCAGGGATCCAGCATACCGTATTTTCTGACACAACAAGATACACGCCTAGTTTTTGAAAGGCAGAATGAAGAGAAAAAAAAAAATCTTTCCTACCATAAGTAACTGAGTAATAGCAGCGAGGGAGCTGAGCTGCTCCACAAACCACTGGCAGATATGACTTTTGTTTTCGCTCATAAGCAGCAGAAACGGCTCTTACCATATTCCTCGCATATAATGCGCACTAAAATTTCCAGCAGTTGGGGTTTGTTTGGGGTTTTTTTTGGGAAGGGGGGTGCGTGTTGTATGCAGAAAAATTTGGTATTCGTCCCCCTGTGTAGCATCATTTGCATGTGTTGCGTACACCTGGGCTCGCAGAGAGGTGCTGTGTTAAGTGTGTGTGAGGGGGTGGAGTAAAGTCACATCTGTGTGTAAGTACATGTATCTGGGTGCCCAGAGTGAGAGGAGCACACACTGGGCCACTGGAGCACATCTGGAAGCACCAGGATGTCACTATCTCAGCTCCTTTTGGGAAAGCCCGGGGCAGCGACGGTTGGAGTGGCTTCCCAATGCCTCAGTGTAGACAAGCACCCGGAGCCTGGTCACAGAGGCAGAAGGAAGAAGATACTTCGGTGTCCTCACACAGCCAGAATAGCCCTGCCGGGAACCACAGTGCTACCATTCACTGAACCTCTTGTGGTGGGGGTGTCTACCAGACCCGTGCTTTAGCACTGCTGGTTTTTTGGAGGGTTTTTTCCCTTCCTCTAAGGCGCTGGGATACTGGACATAGTTCAGGCCACGGGTTTCTGGCAGGGTGCACTAAGGCTCCTCCTTGTACTTAGCAAACCCCGAGGGTCCTGACTGGAGGGGCTTGCTCTTCCACTCAGGGTCAGCCCCACCAGCAAATGTGGGGTTAGATTGGCACAGACTGAGTGGGGGTTTGGCTTTCCTCTGTAGTGTGGGGCAGGGACCTTTTCCTACGATCTTCTACCTAAATTAACCAACTTGTTTCTCACCCCTGCAACAGCAGGGGATCATCCCCCCTGCTTTTACCTGTAGCAAATACTAGGGCACTGCTGGCATTTCAGGCGATGTTTCTTGTAGCGGCTGCAAGGGGACTGGAGTCGATGGTGGCATGAAGGCCATTTCCAGCCTCGTATTCCCCTGACTGCACAGGGGAATGGCCAGAGGTGTTGGGTACCCAGGAAAGCAACACCAAACTGCAACCCGGTCGGCAGCTGAGCGGCCAAAGCCTCCAAAAGCCCCAAGCTGTCAGTGCCCCCCACCATGCAGCTACGGAGGGAAGGAGGGCTCACCTGGTCCCCAGAGCTGGACGCACTGCTGCTGGTGTGTCAGGCACATGCCGTTACTGCAGTACGCCTCTCCACGAGCACAGATGGAGCCGTCTAGCAGGTATACGTTGGCTGGGCAGTAGGGTGAGGCCCCGGTGCAGTATTCAGGGAGGTCACAGGATCCGGCTTGCTCCCTGCACATGGTCCCGGCCATCTTCAGCTGCCAAAACAGAGGCAGGAAGGGAGAAACAGAGTCATTTGCACCTTGGGCTCATCAGCAGCACAAGACCTTTTGCAGGGGACAAGGCAGCACTCAGATCTCCCCATCCCTGGGGCCCACAGAGAGCCAGGACAAAAAGCCCAGGTCTCCAGACTCCTAGGGTGGGGACCCAGTGACAAAAGCAGCCAGAAGTGCCTGGTGGGAATCTCACAGGATTGTGGCTGGTCCTTTTGCTCAATAGCCACTACCTTGGGAGCCAGCAGAGAGGAAGGTAGAGCAGAGGCCTCAGTGCCAGAGCTGGGAACTGGATCCCACCACTGTGAGGATGATCCAGTGCCAAAACTGAGCAGCCGGTTACCAAGAAGCTATTTTGAGCATTTATAATGCAAACAGGAGATGCTTTGATGGAGAAACTGGGTGAGCAGCAGGTGCCTCTAATGATTTTTAAACAAAAATGTTACTAGGAAATAAAGCAAGAGTGTATTTGGGCTTGTTCTACCAACCCTTGGCAAGACAGGACCTGGACATTCACATCAGAGGCGGCAGCAGCAATGGCAGAGGTCGGGTAGCACGGCCAGGCCAGTAGCAGCTACAACGACCAGGCTGGGCTGGGTTTAATTTTTTTTGTTAGCATCACAGGAAACACCCATAAGAAGTTGGTTTTACTCCACTTCGGGACAAACTCAGCCATCAAAGTACTGGGTATGCTACGTTCCCCCGGCTCCGCTTACAGACACCTGCCTTTGAGCCGGACCACAGGCTGAGAAGGAGTTTTCTGGGTCAGCTCCTGTCCCAGCCGTGTCCCTCCCCGCCCCACGCCAGGCCAGGTTGAAGGTACCTTGCAATATTGACAGCAGTCGCCGTGGGCACATTGGGCTCCAGCTTTCAGCGTGCAGTTGTGCGCATTGCAGCAGGGGTTGGTGCACTCCTGCATGGAGAGAACAGATGTGGGGGGTGAGCTGGATGGCAGGGCACGGCAGCACCTTCGAGGCTAACAGGTGCGGAGGGGCAGGGGCTTGCATTCGTCTTGGAGGTGCCACCCTGCCCTGCCTCCTGCCTGACTCCAGGCTAGCAGGCTGCCCACCTTCCTGCT